AGCCACCATTCTGGAGATTTGGCCCAAAAGACAAACAAAAAATCAGAATAGTTTAGTCGTCAGCTCCCCATGGATACTCGAGCCCGTGTAGTTGAGAAAAGGGAAAGAATTCTGGCCTCATTGAAGGCTTCATTTGAAGCTTTGGGTGTTCACGACCCAGACTTGCCCTGGGGGTTTGTGGCAGGACCCAAACGGCCTTTTGAAAAGCATGCCTTTGAAGCAAGGCAAAGACTCCGTGATTTGGAGCAACTACAGGTTCTGGATACGGTCATTAGCAATTGGAAATTCATCAACTTGGAAGTGAACCGTGATGAAACCGATCAAAATGTGAGCTGTGGCAGCTGAGTGGGCTTTTTTCAATTGCCAATTCGTTATGGCTAGGCCATGCAGTATGGCTTGCGCTGTTGTGCAAATTTGCTTAAATGTGCACGCTGTTGTTCCCACGTGGTGCTCCCATTGCCCTACGTGATGCTGAAAATTACATGACATACGCTAGCGATCCCTGGCAAAGAAAAAGGTCAAAAGCTCCTGCTTCAAAGTTTTTTTTTCTCACATGATCTCCTTCACCAGATCTCTTTCACATGAATCCTTTCACATGATCTCTTTCGCATGATCTTTTTCACATGACCTCTTTCGCATGATCTCTTTCACATGACCCTTTTCAGATCTCTAGCTTATTGTACCCCCAACGATTGGATTTTGATCGCCCAGGCCACCGCCAAGTCTGTAGCTGAGATGAGCAAGGCCGCAGTCGATCATTATGGATCTACAAGTTGCCCAATCACTTCCCGTCTTGCAAGTGTGCCAACTAAGAGAGCAGAAGACGAATGCCATAAACTGTGACGTAGCTGAAGCTGACTCCATATGATCCCATATAAAAATTACGGCAATTATTCTTTTTAGGGATGCTTTGGGTTGCATTTCAACTTGCACTTTTTAACTTTGAACCCTGCCCCAACCAAGGTTTGAGAAGCACAACCTGGCGTTGAAGATTCCGGTTTCCTGGGTTGACTTGGATGGTGGTGATAGCTACCCTGTGCTCAGTATGCTTGACACCATTGACTACTTGGTTCAATCCAACAACTTGTCCAAGTTGTTTGGGGAACAACCCATGGAACAAGTGCAACCAATGTTGTTAGAGTTTTGGCGACGTTACAGCCTTGAATGGCCAGATTATGGAGTCTTTCGAGCTGCTGCTGAAAACAAGCTGTCGCTATCACGAACAATTCCAGTTTACATTCATGGTGATGAAGGTCGTGGATTCAAACGATCGGGTGTCATGATATTGAGCCTACAAGGGGCCATTGGTCGTGGCAGCAAACCTTTCCTCAAAAGACATCCAATTAGATCTCTTCGTCAACTCAAGATGGGTATCAACCTTCAAGGGAGCTCTTTCAACAGTCGCATGCTGTTTGTTGCAATGCCAAAGAAACATTACAAGGCGAAACCAGATTCTGGGACTATGATATTATTCATTTTCTATCCTCTTAGATTGCCTTTGGTTGTCCTTTCCTGTGACATTAATTTTAATCCCACTCAGCCCCCTATCCTTACTCAGGAGAATTTCCAGGCTGTACTCAACAAGATGATCAATGACCTCCTCAAACTTCAAGACATTGGGTTTACCTACGCAGGGGAAAGATGGAACATCGCTTGCTTAGGTGTGAAAGGGGATCTTCCGTTTTTGAGGACCGTTGGAGACCTGACGAGGCATTGGCAAAGGGCGCACAGGTCAGAGGAAAACAAATCTCCTCCTGGGGTTTGTTGGATGTGTTTGGCTGGCACAAAGCCAGGGGGGCCTTTTGAAGATTTCAACATAGATGCTCAATGGTCTGTGGTTGCTACAGTTGATCCTTGGGTTACACGACCTTCAGTGCTGCAATTGTTTCATTGTATCGATCGTCCCCATGACTATCTCAAGACTGATGTTTGGCACAACTACCATGGAGGAGCAGGTAAAACTTTCATAGCTTCAGTGCTGGCTGAATGTTTGCTTCTTTTGCCGGGGTCAAGGGAAGACAAAATTTCCCAGTTGGATGTTCTCCTACGTCAGTGGGCCAAACGGCCGGGTTGCAACCTTCCTCATTCAGGTCCATTTGTTGCGGAGAGAATTGGCCTTACAAGCTTCCAGGTCTTACCTGAAGGAGGTTGGTCAAAGTTTGCTGACACGCATATCTACCACAGGTTTGTGGAATGGTTCTTGACAGGGAGGATTAATCAATTCAATGAGGACGAGTATTTTTTGATGATTCTTGAAGCTGTCAAAGCGGCCAACGACACTTTTTCAATTCGTTACTCGTCTGGGTTGTGGCTGACGTCCAATGAAGCGCTTGCAGCTGGAAACAACGGAAGAAAGTGGTTACGTATCTATGCAAATCTTGCCTATAGGTGCTTCACTGAGCGAAAATCACGCTTCCCGATCTATGTTAAGTTTCACATGTTGGACCATCACTGGCGTCGTTTGGTATCTGGAGCCCAAAACAAATGGACACTGAACATCCTAGCGGAGTCAGTGCAGGCTGATGAGGAGTCTAGTTTGAATTTATTTGAATTTTGATATGTTGGTCGTTATGTGGTCCTATCCTAGTATGTGTCATCACTGTTGTATTTTCCGTTCCCTGGGGATGTCTCATTTCAGGACTTTGTGGGGAGATGCTGTCGCGTCAGCCGACGCATTTCCCCCAGGGCAATTGGATTGAGAGTACTTCAAAGGTATCTTGTGATGGCAAACAAAGCGTGGGTCAACAGCCCGAACCCTGACACTCAGCAGCCGACGAAGAGAAGCTTCGCCGAGATGACGGGCCCGCTTGAAGCTGATGGTCCAAAGCACAGAAAAAGGGGGAGTGAAGCAATTGTGTGTGATTATGGCTGAACCCCCAAATTGGGAAACACCCGTAAGCCGTAATGACCAAAAAAAATGGTTGAGGCCGTATGATCAAAAAAAAACATTCATTTGGGTTCCTAGGTATATATACACACAATAATGAACGTTTCTATCTGTTTTTGGTGGTTGCTATGGCCAGATTTAATCATTCACAACATGTGATGCTTAACTGTCAATCAGCAAAGATCTGGCTGAAGCTATAGCAATTTTGATTGAAATTCAAGATTGCAAGTTGGGCACCAGTTTTCCAAGCCAGAAGTTGGCCAAGTGAGCTTACTTTGACCAGTTTGCATCCCTGATATTTAGCCCTGCACATGTTTTTGTTTCTCATAACTCGGTGGGTTTATACCAACCATAATGAAACATACATGGGGATAGAAAGTAATACATGATCAAGCATAGGACATGTTGTTTTGCTTGAAAATAAGGGATACAGTACCTCAAACGAGTACGTTTACATCAGATTTCACGTTTTTGCCCATTCTAGCACAAGTTTGCCACCTCGATAGACTTGACTGCCAATGTCTCACCATCGCTGTTTGCCTCCCAACTTTCACTGATTTTGAATCTAGCTAACATCATTCCTCACCATCAACTGCCAGAGGTCCACGGGGTATTCCTGCGCTAATCATTTGCTGGTTGGTAGTTGTTCACACATAAGGCAGATATTGAAAACATCACACACATACACACATACACACTCATCAGCTCGTTTCCCCAGATATTTGAGAGTGGTACCTTGTGGGGGTCCCATTTTTACTTGTTTTTCATGTGTTTGGTGTGTTTTTTGCCGAGTGAGTTCTTGTCCATGTCATGATGAGCTTGGTTTGATGAACATGATGCTACGCTTTAGACAACGCCTGTGGGAAGTTATCGCTGGAGAACCTCCAGGAGTGAAAAATGTGGGCTCTTGTGACTGATGGAACTTCATTGTCATTCCTCTGTCATCAAAATTCAATTAAATATTGTTGAAGAAATAATAGATAGATAGATAGATAGATAGATAGATAGATAGATAGATAGATAGATAGCTAGATAGCTAGATAGCTAGATAGATCGATAGATCGATAGATCGATAGATCGATAGATCGATCGATCGATCGATAGATAGATAGATAGATAGATATAGATAGATAGATAGGTAGATAGATAGATAGATAGTAGATAGATAGATAGATTAGATAGATAGATAAATAGATAGATAGATAGATAGATAGATAGATAGATAGATAGATAGATAGATAGCTAGATAGCTAGATAGCTAGATAGATCGATAGATCGATAGATCGATAGATCGATAGATCGATCGATCGATCGATAGATAGATAGATAGATAGATTAGGTGTGTAGATAGATATAATCATATAATCATATAATCATGTAATTATATAATTATTTAAATATATAATTATATAATCATATAATTATATACTTATATAATTATATAATTATTTATATAATTATATATTATATACATATGCTTTCATAATGTGAATGAATGGAACACCTATCAGATTGACTGATAAAGTCTAGAGGAAAAGGTAGGTTAAAAAAAAAAATCAGCCTGATTGATGTCGAGGCCAAGCACTCTCGCTCAATTGGCTTCGTAGTGAAGTTCACAAATTGTGGAGTCCTACATACTCTTCAAATCGAATCAGGTGTGTGGGAATCATGCGGAGATTCTCCACCGATAACTTCCCTTGCGTTGTCTAAAGCGTAGCATCTTGTTGAGCAAACCAATCTCATGACATGGACAAGAACTCGCTTGGCACGGTCTAATGGGCACACCATATCTGACCAACGATAGTCCTGGAGCATCTATAGATCGTCTGTCACTAACATTGCTGGCTATATCCCCATGAAACCATGAAGTATTGCTACTATCTTCATATGTTGATGGTGAACTAGCCTGCCGTGTTTACCCAAGGTGGTCCGCCTAGTTGTGCTTCTTCGTTCATATTCACCCATGTAAATTCAAGTAACTATAGTTGTAATTCAGCATATATTCTAAAAAATCTAGTTAAATCAACCAACCTATACTAAGAAATTTTGGGCATCACCTTGTAATGACCTTCCCAACAACAAAAGAAACACACGAACTAACCGCACGTGGACCTTAAAACGGGGACCCCGACTCATCGAAATCGATGCTTTCGGTGGGACAGCCAGTGAGGTCCAACAGAGCCTACAGAAACTCACCATGGAAAGGGTCGACTTGTGGAGTTTCTTAGGTTTCGAGGTGCGATGGGGGATATAACATAGAGCTGACTTGTTGATGCGAAAAAAAAACAACTCCACTTGAAAAACCCTGAAGCTCAGATTTTGATCTTAGTTTCCACTATTTTAGGTGTTTATCAAAGCTTTCAGATTCTCCCATAAAGGGATTCACTAAAACAAAGTGGTACTTGTCCCAAGTTTTTGTAGGCGACTTAATCCGGAAAATCATGAGAAGAACCGGTAGAAAGCAGGGAACCCAAATAGCAATCGACTCTTTCATTGCTTAGATTTGGGATATGCCCATTTACAGCAAACAAATACAGATCTGCATTTCGCAAAAGTACTGTATAATTTTGTATATTATATATATCTATTCTGTATTATATATTGTATGACTATCAAAAGTCTATATACCCAAGACATTTCCCCACTCGCCTCAGCAATCTCTCCACCACTGATGGCTTGGTAGGAGCCGTGCGCCTGCAGTGAGAATAGTGAGAAACATTTCGGTCGACATTTATAGGGATTCAGATGGATATAATTGGGAAAAAAGCTGGAATATACCCTGTGCACGCTGGAAAATCCTCCATTTCAAGATGATTTTTAAATTAAAGCCTCCGTTTCAAGGGGATTTTCAAGTGCCTGGTTTGATTACTAGAGGGTAACCGATTTGTGATTTAAAATCTTTCTCTCTAAATTTGGGCTTGAAGAAAAGATACAAATTGGCAATGGCATTTGACCTATCAACAGAGTGATCTTTGGAGGGACTACATGAGGATGGGGAAGGACACTGCGGCTACTCTTCGATGGGTCCTCCCACAACCATCTGGATGTCATAGGGGTCAGACTTCAACAACATGGGTTGTCAAGCAATGGGGTAACAAGTGTATTACCATGTATAAGCCAACTTGTTTAAAAAGGAAGACATGTAAACAAACCAGTTGTAGGCGGATTTTATGGGGCAAATACTGTACAGCGGTGGAACATAGCCAAGAAGTGTGTGTGTGTGCGTCTGATATTCCCATGTGATCTCAGAACTTGAGCAAACCATCATCTCAAATAGCTTGCCCACACTAAGGTTTGAGCCGTCAACGTTTCACTTCCCCGAGCTCCATTGCCCTGCAAACACGATAATATTATTTCTTTTGGCTAGTCAGCATGTATGCTGATTTACAGCCATAACCGTCTTGTGAGACAACATATACATGGAATATGACAATGTTTGATAGAGTGAATCATCTACAAATGGCTCATCGAGCTAATAATGGCTACAGGATGTTAAATTACCACAACATAAACTACCCTAGACCTATCATAAATGAACTATTCTCAACTATAGACCCCCATTTTCAAATCGTTCTTGTGGGCTAAATCACCATATGTTTTACCGCTTGTGTCTAGCTATAAAATCGCCGCTGCCCGTGTCCGTCTCCTCACACCTTGGCATAGGCCTTTTCCAGCAAGGGCACCCACAACTGCTGCCCATCAGCACCTCATGGCAGGGTACAGGGCCAGATGGCCCTTTTCGATGGCCAAATGATATCAATGATGCTTTAGCTATTCAAAATGCTGCCTGAACCCAGAACTATGTCAAAATCCCCAGAGAGTAGATGAAGACGTGGTGAAATGAATGTAACATATATGGTCAAGCAGCAAATCACCAAGTCCCCTTCTGAAGTACCAATCGTTCACCAGTCTACAATGTTGCAACCATTGTTTGATGCAAATGTAGGGCATCCAATATCAAAATATTGTTTTCACATGTTCTTCTGTCTAAATAATATGGGAAAATGGCACCTTTAAATTGAGGGAATAGGTTTTTTCATCAAGTCATACTCGAATTGAACACTTCATCTGCGCGAAAATTCCATCGCTATCTTGGGTCCTAAATGAGGATCTAAATGTGGATCGATACAAAATAATGGACACTGGGTGGATTTGCTGGGAGTCAAAAGATTGGAACCCCAAAGCCACACATGGTCTATCGTTGTTTTCTCCATCCAGATTTCTGTTTTGGACAATGCTGAGTATGCCCATTTTTTAACTATAGGCATAATTATATCATCCCGCTTTCGACAGAGGCACAGAAGACAGCATGAGTGGAAAGCCCCAATCTAAAGGCATAGTCAGCTCAGTTCAGGGATCATTGCGTGAGCCAGTGTGTCGTACGGTTTATTCATGGGTTGCACAACATGGGTTATTACATGTTGTTACGTTGTTACCCACAAGCGACCAGTGGGAAACGGGTGTGTATGGCTCCCAAGTTGATAGGAACGATGGTTGTTCATTTCAATTGAGTGTATGCATCTGATATCTCTGTCCTATGTATATACTTGAATGTAATATATATATATATATAATTATATATATATGGAGTAGATAGAACATGTTCAAGAGCTACAAACAAAATCTACTACATATCCATCCTGGATTTGATAAAACCCTGACCCCAAGGACGTGTTTATGTTTTTTTTCCAGCTGCGGTGTTCCACTACGAACATCCAGCTTTCGGACGGGGGGCCCGGCGCGATGAGTAGCGCGAGGCAGGTCGCCAAGGCCATTCCAGGCAGGTCGTTAGGTCATAACCGTAATGACCCAATTGTAGATGGAACATCCCCGTAAATTTATTAGTCATTTCCACTTTATTATGTATATATATATAAAATATATATACACATATGTATCAAGCGGGTTATTACACATTTACTATCTGCGTTGCAAATCCAAGTATTCTCATTTTGTGTATAAACATATACATATCATGCCACGTTCGTTAACAAACTGATAGTAACTCTGTCTGTCATGATAATCCGAGTTGATCATAGTTGATCATCCTAAACTTCACAGGGCACAAAGATGTGAACAAATCATAATTCATGCGTAACAATGCACCAACCCAAAATGTTTGACCTTTTGGGGTACAATCCCCTACCAGTATGCTATATTGATCTATATTGTATACTGAGCTAACCATGATACAGTGACACCGCAGTGAGGTCTTTGCATTTTATCCAGAGACATGCGATACCAAACAACGTAGACAACGTCTCAATAGCACAGATGTTGCCCTCAGCCTCCCCACGCGTGTTTCATCCGAATGTCTGCCAGATCTTTTATCCAGCAACAAGAAGGTGCTCATGAGATACCTGTGACCTGTGGATATATGGAACAAACCCATAGAAAACCAGAAAAATATGGTACCTCTATGGTGCATGAAATCCATCATTTTCCATATGCTAGCTTACCGGTATAATGATCGCCATCCCAGGTAGAATGGCTTTGAAACATGAAGCCACCAATCAGGCTCTACCATTGCCAACGTTCGTGGTTATATACCCATTATACCAAATGCATGCACACAATTATCCCCTATAAACAGATAATATGTTCAACATGTTCCCTTCACCTCTATGACTATTCCCTTCACCTCTATGACTATCGATTTTATCTATAAATTGGCTGAATTAACATGATATCTAGTTTCCCTTTACCTCTATCTATTGTTATGTCCCATCAAGAATTATAAAGGATGAAAGGACAATATAATAATATAAGAATATGTAACTATCAATAAAAACGAAAAACTATATATATATACAGTAAAATGATCAAACCTTACCCTGTACTTCCCAACTTTTACATACCAATGAAATCATCAGAATGGAAAGTTGGATTAGTTGGATCTATTCGATACATCATGGTCATAGCGATGATTAAGTAATGAATCACTAGCCATCATTGTGCATGTATATATATATATTATACACAGATATCATTGTGATTATCCATCAGTGTTAATTAATCATGGTGATACTGATGATCATCATACTTAATATGTGTATATATATATATGTATACGGTATAAGTATGTATAAATCACCTGATGGATATCGGTATCTATGTTTAATGAATGTTAATGATCCCCGGATACACGTCATCATACGTAATCTCATCTCACAGGCTGTTGGAGAAATGGGCCTAAAAAGGGCCATCGTAAAGAACTGCCAAGAAATTCAAACCATCAAAAAACACAGAACACAAAAGCAATCACAATAATGAAAAATAATCACCTGGCTGGGACATAATAATTCATAAGCAACCATGAATTCGATCACCTGGTTGGGAAGCCTTCAGTAGATATGAATAAGCTTGCCATTTAAGCGGAAATATATACATATTCATAGCTTCTTAGCTCCTTTTTAACCACTCGATAGTCTCGATAGTCCTGTCCGCCAAAAACAAACACACACATCAACTGCATCCAACATGGAGTCTGGAAAAACAAAAAAAGGTCAGTCTTACGGTAAGCTAAGCTTCGTCATCCAAACAGCAGCATGAGCCTCTCCTTGAAAGTGGTTGACATGGAAGTCTGCACCCAACTGGTGGAACGCAAGAAAGCCACCGGTGGCCAGATGCTCTCAGGTCTAGCCTGGTGCCGGCACCGGCCCGGGGAAATCAAAGGGAATTGAATGATATTTCTCCAGGAAACCATGGTTTGTTTGATGGTTTTATGTGTGTTTACTCCAAATTGAAGGGGATTGAAGGGGATTTTCACTTTGAGGGGCAAATTTTCGAAGAGTCAGTTGATTTGCAACTGAGCCTATGGATTGGTTTCTGGCAATACAATATATCCACAGGTGGATGGGTTTACAAATCTGGGATTGGATCATCTGAGGCTTGTCCTTGTGAAAAACTGAAAACACCAGGCCGTCAAGGCCATGAGTTGTTACCCAATGAAGAATTCCAGGAGTAACGGAGGAACCTGTGGCCCCATGAGATGATGGAGTAGCCATCTTGATACGACAAAGTGGTGGTTTTTCCATGGAAAGAAACCATTGATTTCATATGGAAAGGCCGGAAATAATCGGACATATCATCTATAATAATCCTGGTTCGTGTTCTGTCTAATACCATCTAATACCGTAATATTAGTAATACCCTTGTAAATATAACCTATCTTTGAGTCTGGCCTCCGACCAACTTCCTTGCCGTGGGGAATCCTCAAAGATCCCACAGCACGCCGCTCAGCCGCTCACGTGAGCCACTGCAGCACCAGGGATTGGGCCACAGCATCGGACGAAGTCTGGCAATCTTATCTAGGGCTTTCCTAAAATGGGGGGTACTCCCCTATGGATGGTTTGTTTCATGGAAAATCATGGAAAATCCCAATCTAAAATCAATGATGCTACGGGGTAGCCCCATTTCAGGAAAGCTATGGAAAGCTTCATCTGGCTCAGAAATCCCCCATGTCAATGGCGAACACGAAACATAACATGGACGTCACTTGTTCCAGCTAGGATGGACAACAACAAACATGTTCAAAACCAACAACCACTCAGATCAGGAGTGTAATATCACTGGAAGAACACTAAAACCAAACGTATCTACTTGATTCTACTTGTTTATATGTTTCATTGGTTTGACATCCCTGTGCTGTTGGATATGTTGAAACTGTTTGACTCGCTGATACTTCGTTCAAGGTTATTGTTGTAGTGGGATATGTCCAACCCATCTTGGGGCACAAAACAACTCAACAAACCCAGTTCATGTCTATAATATCTCATAATCATTTGTAATCCATCCAAAAGTCCAAAAGTGATGAAACACACCATTAATGTCAGTTTCTGGGTGGACATTCCCACTGAGAGGACAACAAATTAAGAAATGATCGAGGGACAACAAGAGACAATAAACATTATTAGCATTGACAAAGTCACCATGTTTCAACTCATTGGCCCAAGCCCAAGTTGAATCTCTATCTCTAATTTTCAGTTCAGAATGCCAGTGGCTCATGTGAAGACCGGCAAAAGGAAGCCGAGAAAGCTGGAAGGTTCCTGATCGTTCCCCTTGGACTTCGACCCAGAAATCCGGGTGTTTCATGACACCATTCCCGGGTCTAGCTGGAGGATTGGCTTCAGTTGAGACTCCAAGCTGAGGGTCATGAGGATAGAAGGAAACACACAGAAGGGATATATTATCGGATATATGATACAGTATGAAACAACAATAAACAAAACATGTCTAGGCTTGGCACCAACTTTAGTTTCCTTTGCAGACTACCATTCTAGTCGAAATCCCAGAATTAAATCTTTAGTTCCCGTTCTTGACACCCTATCTCAATATCTTTCCCAGCTATGTCAATATGTGAGCGGACATGAATATTGAAGCAAGACTCCGAGCCTCATGATAGCCATAGACTCTTCACCAATGAAAAATTAACATCCCCAGATGGGTCAATGGGACAGCTCCCCCATCACCCCTTTTTTTTCCGCCCAGATCTCATCTGTTTTGTACTTCAAGGACAAACAAATCGTGTCATTACTCCAACCATTAATTCTTGTGCGCGACTGGCACGGGCAACTTACGACCGACTCGCCGCCACTTCGCTTCAGGAGGTTGTAGAGGCATTTGTTCCACATCAGTTATTAATCACTTGATTTTCCTCCTCTTGCACCTGATTCTTGAGATTCATGAGCCGTTCACTATAAGAAT